TACCTTTTCATAGATGAAGGTTGAAATGGTGGATAACTCCCTTCCCCCACATTGGCGACTTACGGTGATATGATCACGCCTATCTTGACAGTAACGCCTACTTCGATCTGGTAACGCCTACTTCAATGGATGGTCCACATTGAACAGTTGACTTGCTACTTGTGACTGCGCAATTATCCACCTCCTCACGTTGTTGCTACTAAGTCTCGTCTCGATCATACACAAAGTCAGCCTGCATACACTCGACTGCTAAAGGCAACACAGGAGTGACTACGACCGTAAAGTTAATATACCTCTCACATTCAGCACTCAAAAACCCGGTGACCTTAATCCAGCTCTCCCGGTCTTTCACAAGTACAGCAACTAGTGGTATCCGTTTATCGAATTCTATTCCTGATAAAATTCTGGTGGGGGAGTATTGTGGCGTAACTACCGCTACGAAAATTAAACATCAATTCGCTGGTACATTAGACATGCTAACTTGATTCAATCACAGGTACCTTTTGATAGATGAAGGTTGGCATTGTCGATAACTCCTCCCCCCACAGTTCCATTACGTGCTGTATTACTTCTTCAGAGATGCCAACTGCTCCGAACACACCAAAATAATTAAAAGAACGGTAAATAATTAAAAAGCAAATTTTGCAAATATATGACTATTATTGCTTGCTTTTAAAAAGGTATAGCATGACATTAGTACCAAAAAGTGGTGAATCATATAAATCTACGAATTATTAAGAAATAGTGGTGGATATAAATCCACTAAACAGAATTTATTAAACCAAGAATTACAATTGATAAACTACCACTTTAAAATATATATTTGCTGTCCGGAGCAAGTTGGCATCTCTGCTTCTTACGCACCTCGCGAACCATAACTTGAGTATCGTATAATGTACATACGCTTGTATGATAAAGACAAGCTCCGTTACTTATAATTGGTATGACAGTATGTGGCATATTAACACAGTTTATGTTTAAAATTTCTACAGCAATTTGTGAAAGGGTCAAAAATATATCTAAATAATTACTTCGTAACAAAGTTTTTATTAAAATAAAAGAAATGTATTCTAAATAAATTCTTGAGGTACAGCTAACTATTCAAAGGGGCTAAAATTATTTTTTACAACAACCTAACACAATGAATCGAAATAAATACTTAACGTATAGCTATATTTTTTAAAACACTTCTTGAACTTTTATTTAAGACAACCCTACAAAGTGAATAGTGTTGCCAATGGATAGAGAAACACCCAACTTTATGGCATCATAGAGGGGAAACATACGATTATAAAACAACACTATACTCGTACCTCATTTTAATTAATCTACTGAAGCTAAATATAGCATTAATGTATTCATAACGCACGTAATCATTACACCAATGTTACGTAAAAAGAACTTGTGCTTAAATCATGACGTTTCGTCACGTCACACAAGCAATTTCTACCTATAAGCTTTTACCTGAAGTAAACAAGAATTCCACTAACATTTAGAAAGTGATATTATCTAACTTTCTGAGCTTTATCACGCCGTTCCAAATGTATGTATGTCAAAATCTACTTCCACTGTTTATGTTTGCAGAGGCTTAGTAAGATTGATTACATCAGAATCAACTGCTATTGCCGACACGTTGTAAATTTAAGAAAGACAATACGTTCAAGATTTAAGATGCTTTCTAGAATTTCCCAGATGTGGTAAACATATTTTTTTATGCCGAAACTCTTCGTTGAATGCGAAGAAGTTTGTGGAAGAATATGTCATGTGATGTTTTGTGAAATTTTAGAACCTATTTCAATTAACTGTAATTGTGTAGGGCACCAAATAAAAAGAAGGCATCTTAATGGTTTAATAATTTCGAACTAATATGCAGTCTTCTTGATTTTAGGCTGATCAGGATGATTTTAAATATTCTAATTAATATAAGACAATATATCATAAAGTCAAAAATGTGTTTTCTCTGAATACACCTACTTTTTTTCCACCTATTCTGATTTTTGACTTGTAAATATGGGAGGATTTAACCGCAAACTGCAAAATATAATTTCGATAGTTTAAGTAGGAGAACGTACCAAGACTTTGGACACATAATGTTAATTTCACTTTTTCCTTAATTTATATATCTCCGAAACAAATTTTGACTAAATAAAACTTTTTTGAACACAATTGAAAAACTCATTTGTCTAAAGACAAGTCAGTACAAAATTTTATTTTTTTAAGATAATTTATTAAGCCTTTCTTTTGTCGGATTATTTAGTATCTTTTGTTTTTTATTCCAATAATAAGCCTAACTTTAAATTATAAAGATGAACACTTGCTAACATCATTTTAAATTATGTAATTTCATATGAAAAACTGCAAATTCAAGCGGAATCGGGTACTTACAGATCAAGAAGAAGAAGAAGATCACGAATACTTATGCATTTAACCTATGACGTCAGCTCCAGCTAATCGTTTTTTTTTTCTTTTATAACCGTCGTTGAACAGCCGACCCAATTTTCGGGTTTACGACTACTAATGTTCAACTACGTAACCTTGTAATTTTGAACTCAATCCAGAAGACAAGGGAACTCCTGGATCAAGTATTGGGAGAAATTTGTCTTCGTGGAGGACTTTTTGATGGAACTAACCCGCATTTGCGTTACATGGAGGGGAAGACCACAAGAACCCCCCACGCTTAGCCTGAAGGCAAAAGGACTCTAACCCATGATCCGTCTACCTCTGAGGATATTTCACGTCAGCACTGTGGCCAGTGCAAGCCGGATGCGGAATTTCGACTGGGATTCGAACCCGGTTCACCTCATTGGAAGGCGAACGCTCTATCCCCTGAGCCATCGCGGCTCCCAGTTAATCGCTTATAAGCAAAATGACGTGTTTATGTTAAGTAAAGTTTCTCCACATAAGTTAGAATGTTAATTAACGCGAAGTTTATTAAATACAGCGCCGTATCATACATCAAATTTGCTGAAATATAATTCTTTCTCGGTTACATCTTTTACTTAACCTAGATTTATTATTTGTTTATGCATTTTATTGTAACGATGATATATTTTTGTTTTGAGTACCTGAGAACTTCGATGCATAATTAGTTTGTTTATGTTCTACATGGCTTCATGCCTATCTTTGTGTAAAGTAAGAAATATATAGTGAAAAGATTAAAATCTTTGTGGAATAAATTTTTTGTAAGAATATAGAATGTGTCACTTAAGAGAACTGATACTAGACGAGCATTGCTTACTCGAAATAGAATGGAAAGAACAGTTGCTAACGTAAACAAATGCCACATTTCAACAACCAACCAGGATCGAGATACCCTTACTCCGTCACTTACAGGAATCCCATTGGTCGAAAACAAAATTTTAAAATATACCTATAGAAGTTTCCTTTCTTAGGAACTATTAAGTTAATTTCTTTTAAGTTTTAGGTTATGTTAGTTGAAAATACAGAGTTGAAAACTATATCAAAATATTAAACTATATCAAATATTACCTCGAGATTAAAATTATTATTATTTTAAAATTTTAAAATAAAAATTATAAACATCCTAACAAATTATATATTGCCTCAAATTATCTTTGAATAAATGTATTTTACAATTGTGTATAATTTTTTTTTGAATTATGTAAATAGTTACAGAGATATGGCGAAATACGTTTATTCAGAAAAAAACTAAGTCATTTCGTTACTTCCTAAATTAATTAGCATATTTAAAATTAAATTATTCAAACCATTAAAATTGTATATTAGTACAAACAATTTCGGTCATTAGATGAAAATTTATTCAAGTGTTCTGATTTTTATTTTGCGTACTATATAGTATTAAGTTGAGGAGTCAGTTTTAAAGGAAGGCTTATTTCTGTGAGTTGAAACTTCCCTTAAAGCTGCGTGGTTCAAAATAATATGCAAGTTTCCTGTGCCACGTTGTTCTTTCAGCTATTCTGAGTAGAAGTAAAACAAAAAAATCCTGTAAATTCTGAAGAAAAAATAATTTCATATAAACCATTAATTTTAAGTCTAGATTGATTTTCATGACGTATGATCTTTGAGTATGCATTGTTGCATAAAAAGAAAGCGTAAAGGATGCATGTCATGCAAACGTAAAGTGCTATTTTCGTACAAGGAGATAAACTTTGTTGCCACATAGCCAGTAATATTTGACGTCAAACTGACGTCGGAAATTTCGAGTTTCTAAAAGACACTGTAACATCATTCTTTCGTAAACCTTACTAAAAGTAACTCCGTTTCTACGTGGTTTTTAAATAATGAAACAACCTTTTTTTTTAAAATTACCAATAAGCTCCGTTCCAACCCCAGTGGATACTTATCAATCAATTCGTCATCATTTTTTTCTTAATGTCGATAAAAATAAGTATTAAATAACGAGCAATGAGTGGTTAAATAACGGAACATCATTTAGTGTAATACTTGAAGAAAAATTATTGGATTTCGCAGAGTATTGTTGGATTCTGCAATATTTACAATTGGGTGACCTGTGTGTTAGAAAAGAATTCTAGATCTCAAATCATTGTTGATATTGATCGATGCATTTAACTGTTTAAATGTGTGCAATATGTGCACAGTTATAGATTATCACTTAAAGAGATAGTAACTGCTTCACAATGCTTGTTAATCCAATTTTTGACATTCTGTTAATGCATGTCAGGAATTGTATCCACGTGCAAAGGATGCAATAGCCCCTAACTTCTGAATGATTTTATTTTTAAGATCTCCAATTTCTTTTCAAATATTTTTTTACTCCACACACAGATCAGTCTCAATTGAAAATCAATCAATTCTTGTATCAATTGAAAAATGTTTTGCTATATCAATTGACAAACATATAAAAAACACATGCATTTTTATCTTTTCGTGAATTCAAGTTTGCCTGAATGGAAATTTAACATTTTTTTCCCAGTTCCAGCTGTCTTGGAAAGCTTACAGCTTTCCAAGAGAGATAGATAGGTAAAATAGATAGATAGGTATAATAAGAAATCAAACTGTGACTGTTTTTATAAATTTTATCTTTTTTTAAATTCGTTTCGGCAGATTACATCAGAAAAGACTTCCTTTGACTGTTGAAGATTATTTTAACTACTATTACGTAACTTAAATTTGGCACTCTTTTTAATGCAAATGTTTTTCTTTGTCACACTATTTGCAACAAAGGAAGACTGTTCTGAACATTTTCTGAAGTGCATGAAGCCTATGGAGAATAACCATCTTTCAAACCTTTCAACAGTTTCACACGACGTTTTACTTCCAATAAACTCTCTCGAGCTTGTCTTCTCCCAAAAGCTTCGTATCTTTTTTCCAACTCATTTCTTTCATCAACTGTAATTGAAATGCCCCTTAACTGATGATGATGATGTATCGGGCGCAAGTGGAAAAGAGTAGACTTTTGTTGCTTGTAAGCTGTACTCGTCAGGTACGAGTACTGTGGGTTATTTAGACATTAATGCTGTTCTGAGACTCTTCAATTTTGCTATTTTTCCATCTTACTAAAACTGGTTCGACCAACCAGAATGAACTAGATGCAATGGTCAGTCCTCCGAGTAGGTAGTACATTCCATCGTAGGACCCATAATGATCTCTGAAATGGCCTGCAATAAAGCGAAAAATAAAATTATATACTTTTTATATGCAATGAACAAGGTTTTTCGAATTCATAATAATTTTGAAAAATTGCAACCGAAATAATATATCCCCTTGTAAACTGTAAATTCAGCACCTAATAATTCATAATGTAAGGAGGTGATTTGATCACTTCCTACAAGTGATCAACACAGTGTACCGGTTAAATTCATTATAAAAAACGCTCCCACATTATTACAGACCTACCTCCAACTTAAACCTGATTTCATGATTTCTCTAGAATGACTAATTTGCTGTTCAATAAGCTTTATTTCTATACGTGATATATAAACTTGTTTTCTTTTTATTAACAAACTAGTATAGTTTTAACATTTAAAAAGAACTATAAATTTGACAGAAATAAACATTTACCTATAAGAAATGGTATCCCAAATGGCACAAGTCCAGAAGCAAAGCCATAACACCCCATGGCTATGGACTGCTCTTCTTTCTTGACATTTTTAAGAATTATGACAGGCATGCGCACCAGCATGCTTCCAGCTGTCAGGGAGTAAAAAGCCACCAGTATCAGGTACTCCGGCAGAGTTGACGCAGCTGGCAGACACAGTATGAACGTACCTTGAAGGAACAATGTCAACATCATGTAATTGGGCATGGACATCAAGTTTTTGTCTGTCACCCAACCGAAACAAAGGCGTCCTGCATGGGAAAAAGAAGAATAAGAAAACAATTACACGATAGTTATTGTAAGTTTTTCGGGCAATTACTCTTTCAACAAATGGTATTAAAAGTCAATAATTATGAAAAATAAGGCTGGAAAGGTCTTATCCCTCACAACCAAACTCAAGCGTCAAAGAAGAGGAAGCGAAGGAATAAAATATGATGGAATATATTATTTTCACTGATGTTGCGTATTCTCAAAGTACGAAAATAAGTTGCTCTCTCTTTCTCTTTATTGTTCTGAACCTAACTCAGAAGACAAGACAATTTGTGCATTAAGAATCACGAAAATTTTACTACTTTTTTTTTAAATGAAACTTTGTTGAGTTTTCGTCACTTGGAGAAGAAAACCATTCACGATGAGCCCAAATTTCTTATATGTTCGCCGCTAGAGATAGTTTATGTTATCTATAGTCAGCTCAGATCGAGGGTAATTAGGATTTTGAATCTTGTGTTTTTTTTAAACGCGAAGGTAAAGAATGAGCTGTCTAATGGTCACGGTGTAAATAATTATCATAGTGTCTGTGCTCCAGCAGCAGATTTCGATTGATTTCGTAAAATTACATTCAATTAGACTCAAGTATGTTTTTCTTTAATCTGAAGATAAAAAATGAGCTAGCTAATGATCACGGAGAAAAATATTTTACAAGTCTCAATTAAGGACTTTTTTTCTGAAGATAAAGAATGAACTACCTAATTGTCCCGGAGAAAATAACTTTCTTAGCGAATAGGCTCAATTAGCAAATAAATAGCATAAATTTTAGTATGATTTTTAAAGTATAAATTACAAAACTTAGTAGAAGAAGATACTATGTAGCATTTTAAAGGATAAACATTGTTTCAGAAACTAAATTTCCAAGGTACATTTTTGTATTAAAGTTATTGCATTTAATGACCTAGTAGAAAAATATGAAGTCTTAATTATCAACGGCGTATAATATGCTTCTAAAAACCCAACATTTTCAGCCTGTTAAACTTCTAATATATGCATTAAGAGTTGGGTTTCTTTGGGCGATTTTTCTAATTTGCTTTTGTATTAGCACATTCTCAAGAGTAGAACATTTTATGTTTAAAAATAATTTAACATAAGGAGTTCCGTAAGGATCACTTTTTATGTTTATTTGGAATTCTTATCAAAAACGAAGTAAACGAATAAACCCATAAAAAGCGGCACATTGGTATTCAAACAAGGTGAAGAAAAATTAACTTGATAAAATTAATTTCATAAAAACTTGAAGAATTATTTACAAGGAATGTAGGATTATATAAAAATATTCAAACCTGTTTGGTCACAGGAAAAACAGAAGATAAAAGGTAATTATTAAAAGCACGTTAGAATTTTATACAGCTATCTAACTAGTTCTAATGTTTTTTTTTATCCCGTCTCATGTAATAGTGATTCGTCTAACTTACGCAGGTGAAGAAGACAAGATTTAATTTTTATTTCATAACCATCTTTGAGCAGCCAATCCAATTTCAAGTTTAGGACTAAGAATGTTGCCGTGAAATTTTGAACCCAATCCAGAAAACAAGGAAACTCCCTGATCAAGTATAGGGAGAAGTTTGCTTTCCTGGAGGACATTTAGATGGAAATAACCAGCATTCACGTCACATGGAAAGGAAGACCATGAAAACCTCTCACAGTTAGCCAGACGGCGAACGGACTCTAATGCATGATCCGTCTATCACATAGAATGCTTTTTTACATCAGCCTTGTGTTCGGTGCGAGCCTGTTCGTATTGTCCAGCCAGCGCTGGGATTCGAGCCTGCAGATCATAACTTCGAACTGCAAATATTTTTTTATCTTGCCTAATCCGATAGTAATTTTTTTTTTCCTTGCAGGAGACGAAGGCAAGATTAAAAATATGCAAATCTGTTTTGTCACAGTAGGAAATAGAGAAAATTGAGAGGTAATTATTAAAAAGAATTTAGAGTTTTATCAGGCAATTTAACTACTTTAAATAATTTTTTTTTATCCCACCTCACTTAATAGTAATTCTTTTGACTTTGTTTTTTCCATGTTGAATTTTCATATTGAAATTCCTGATATGTACATTTCTTAAGCTTTGTTTATGTCATATATTCTAAAAATATGAATTAAAAGTAAAAATTGCTAAACAAATTACTTATTAAAATAGAAACTTTGTGTAGATAAACTGTTGATCATTTTTAAATCGATCGATAAAGTGATTAATTAAGATTATCTTGTGCTATATTGAAATTACACAGCTAGACAGACGTTGTGATAGCCTGAAACGTGGCAGTCACCAATACTCACCAATGATGTCGCCAAGAGCCATTGTGTGAATCAAGTATTTTCCAGCTGTTTCAGGAAGACCTTTGTCTTGACTATAATCCACCATACTAGTCATGATCGGGATGAAGACGAGAACATATGTGCACATGCACACACAAATCAGCAGGAAAATTGGATTCGTGTAAAGTTTGGCAATTGTTCTAATGCTCGATAACCAACTATTCTTATTTTCTTTCTCGGCCACCTTCTCAACGACATTTTCTTTATTTAAATCTTCTTTTAAGGAAGTTTGGTGATCTAAAATGGATGTTGAGTTGTTTTCTTTGGCAATTGATAAAAGGTTATTCTAGAAATTGACAAAAGAATCATATTAAATCTAGCAAGTTGTAGAAATATAAATCGTCATCCAGTACATTTCTAGGATTATTTGAAAAGATTTGTACAAATCGTAGCGCTATAAAAGTATTTTTTTTACCAGAAACATGTTAATAAGTTGTATTAGTAACATCGGTAACCTTACAGAAAATATCAGTGATGTTTATATTTAAAATGATATTCTTTAAAAATTAAATGCATTTGATCATTAGTTTTAAAAAGAATATGGTCCCGCGGTGGAATGATAGTAAAGACACGGTTCCCAGTAGAACACGAAGCGCAACATCATGCGCGAAATCAAGCATCATGCGCTGTGGTTAGTAAGCGGGTGGGTAACCTCTTTGATCAGTCTGCGTAAGGACCGAGGGAGCACAGCATCGGCCGTAGTTAAACTCTTCTACCATAAAGTGCTTGACATCACACGCAGATCTTTGGGTAACCAAAGCAGGGGAGCCATCTCCTCTGCAGAGGAACAAAATTGCGATGGAATGTCTTCGAATCATCCTCAAAGATGTTTCCCAGACAGTGGCCAATATGTGCAGCTCTAGTGCGACGTAAATTGAGTGCCTACCTACCTTAAAAAGAATATGCTCATTTCAGAAGCAGAAAAGAATTCGCAAAAATCTAAACAATCAGAATGACTTCTAAGTTTATGAAGACATTAGTTACTAATTATAAAAATTGACTATTATTTTCAAACTCAGAAAGATATTGATAACAAACTGAAAATGAAATTTTTACTTGCGTAAAGCCTCTTAATATCCGAATCTCCCTGATCTTAGAATAAAGCAGATTCATATTTATGTGTAAAGAAAATATAATATGTGCTTATTCAAATATATGTCTAAGAAACGGAATAATGCAGATGCTAATGTGAATGAAAACACAATCTTGTAAATTGAAAAGTGTACAGTACGCAAAATAAAAAACAGACCATCCTGAATTATTTTTAATCTATTTATAGGATATTTCTGTTCTAGGACTCAATAATAATGGTTTGAGGAAGTGAGTTTAAATATGCAAATTAATTCAGACGATATTTTAAGTTACGAAATCAGATACAAAAACGTACTTTCACTGGATAAACATACTTTTTCTTCGCCGAATTTTAAAGAAGCCGTTTTTTTAGAATTTGATTTCTCAGAAACCGTTCGACAGATTTCGTTCAAATTTGTATTATGCCATGTAAAATTACGTTTTTTTTAAAATGATTGATGTAGAAAATTATAAACCTTACAGAACTAAAAACAAGAAATGCGCCCTTTTAAAATGTAAACCTCAAAAATATAAAAATTTGAATTATAAAAAACCCTTAAAATATAAGAATTATAAACCTTAAATTCAAAATTTTTTCGACCATTAATAAATAAAATAATAATAATAATAATGATTATTATAAATGAATATTACAATTGTGTGCAAAAATTTTCCAATTTGGTTGAAAGTTTTTTGAGATATGACGAAAACACTATCATTTAAACCCAGAGTTGTATACAAAATGCAATCATGTATAAGAAACACAATCATGTAGATTCGAAAAAACGAAATGACACTGATGCTGATGCGTATGGGAAGCAGAAAATGTATTCGAATGTGAAAGATAAACAACAATCTCTAAATAGTGCACGTGGCATCCAATTAAGATGGTTCAATTGTTAATATCCTGTACATCAAAACCAGTTTGATTGCCAATACAACTTAAAGACTCCTCTTTAACTCTTTTCTTTTATTTGAGCACGGGTATTTGATTTTCTAAAAAAGTTATCCTATTTACTATTATTTAGTGTTTAAAAAATAAAACTGAGTTATATCATGCTAAATAAGAAGAAAAAAAACATTTATTACTTGAACATATAGTTTCTTTTCCTCATGATTTTCATTTTCTATTTCAAAAGCTAAATTGTCCACTCCTCCATTTTGCAACTTTTTCTCCAGGGTGACCAGGAGATTCGTCGCCGAGTGAGATTTCAATGGAACATTGGAAGCCTCCCTGATTTTGTTCTTTTCCAGAAGGTTAGGATTCAGCGATACAATGCTCAGCTTCTTATTTGCATTTGATTTGACATACTCTTCAGGAATCACATACATTTGTGCTTTCGATTTCAAGCTGGTTCCTGCAATATTGCAATCTTGTACAATCAGTGAATCAATCTTATTCGAAATGCTTTGCCCTAACAATGTAAAGGGGATCAGCCGTTATATTTATCATACAATTCTAATAGTTTAGTAAAAAACAACGGTGAAAAGTTCCTAAAATAGTGAAATAAATGTTTTTAAATTTTATTTCTATCGAAGTTTTTATTTTTCTTCTAACCGATTTCACTCAAATTGTCCGCTTCGGCGTTTAACTCTTTAAAGGACATTTTTTTATAGCAAAGTTACGTGAAAATATAGGGACTGAAATTGAATTTATAAAAAGTAATTCATTAAGGCTATTATCTAAAATTAATTTGATTTTCTAAACCATTTTTTTGGCAGGTTGGTGAAGGGAATTTTTAAACTTTTTCCTGCTGTAAGAAATTGGCTTTAAACTGGTACTTTTGGTTTAAAAAATAAACGAAATTGTTAATTTTGTGTTCATAATTTCAAATAAACTAGGAGAAATAATCAAATAGACGAATGCTTGACCTTTAAGAGAAAAATAGTGTAAACTTCTTTTCTTGACCCAACGCTATTCTTTACTATTACCCCCATTGATGTAAACAAAGCTCTTCGTTTTTTCGATATTTTCTGAAGTTATCAGAAGGTGGCAGCACAAGTGTAAGGGGAAAAATAATTTCCCCTGAACATTTAAAAATTAAGGAAGTTGGGAAGAAGTATACTTTCCACTTACTTATAATGGGTTAAATTGACATAATTTAACGCGTTGAATGCCACGCTAATTTTACATGGTTTGCTCGTCCGGACAAAATGACTTTTGTGCGTTATATATTGCATTAATTTCTTCAAACCATTTAGTAACGATAATAATATAAAAAATTTAAAAGCATTAAAAATTTACTTGAATTATGTATTTCTAAAAATCTTGGCTTCGCCGGTCACCGGTGACTCCCATACCGCTACGAACAAACTCAGTGCCGGTCACCGGTGACCCCATGGCATTTGATGTGTTAAAATAAACCAAGCAAAGTTATTATTTCAATCATTAATGACTCATAAAATTTTTCTTACTTCGGTCATCAAACTGTATTGGTCATTGACAAATAAAATATTATATAATCTTTTTCTTTATAAAATTGTATTTGGATAAAGGACTTTAATAGTTGTGGCCAATTAATCTCAAATTGTGATTTATGGAAAATGTAGGAAATATATGAAATCAAATTTTCAATATTTCTGTATAATTTCCATGTTTTGAGGGTGAAAACATCTAGTCCATGAAATAATATTTATTCAACGAAAATAAGGTCTTATGACTGGTTTAGCAATTTAAGTTATCATTTTCGATAAATTAATTAGCTTGCCATAATTATAGGCGATTCGAAACGAAAGATTGTAATTCGATACATGAAAATCTAATAATTAGATAAGTTATTAAATAATTTCGAACTCTCATTTTCATAAAATATATACATCATATGCAGTGAATTGTTTCCATTTTCTGTGAGTTTGTATGTTTTACCCAGTCAGTAGTGTTTAAAAGATTGTTTGTGTCATAAAGTGATTTTACGAGCTTATAATACCAATATATAAAAAAACTTATTTCATTTTTACATCCTACTAGTTTATGGCTGCAGCCAAAAACTACAGTTGAAAAAATACACAATATTCTATACAATATAAAGACATGAATATAAATCAAAGTAGATATATTTTGATAATTGATTAGTTATTTTGATTGATATATTTCTTAGCTCATACATAAGAGCAACATTAATTTTGTTTTGTTGCCTAATTTTCAGACTAAAGCAATATGATAACCGTTAACCTGTTTGTCAAAATGCACTGTAATGGAAAAATATTAAAGTCATTAACCTCATAAAATTTTTAAAAAAATTATAAATTATAAAGAAAATAATTTTCAATTATTTAAAATGCTGTATACCAAATGATATCAGAGATGCCTACTGCTCCGGACACGCCAAAATAATTGAAAAAACGGTAAATAACTACAAAGTAAATTTTGCAAATATTTGACTATTTTTGCTTGCTTTGTAAAATGTATAGCATGACATAAGTATTATAAAGTGATGAATTATATAAGCCTACGAATTGCTTAGAAATAGTGATGGATAAAAATCTACTAAATTGAATTTATTAAACCAAGAATCACAATTGATAAACTACCACGTTAAAATATATATCTGCTGTCCGGAACAAGTTGGCATCTCTGTGATATGTACATTTAAAAGGCATATAAATAATTCTATAAATGTAGTCGTAATTCGTGTAATGGGGGTGATATAAAGTGTGTAAGAAAACAATTATTCGGTAAATCAATAAATCAGTGTATCAATGCTACAAAAGCGCGTGTCAGTGTGTCTTTCAATCTTGTGTGGATTAAAGAAAATAGGTAATGAACATGAAGATTGAAGGGTTAACGCGTTTGCCGTTTAGACTATCACTATAGCAAAAATTTGGCAAAACCTACACTGTAAAAAACTCCCGTTCTCTTTACAGACTTTTTTTTTTATCATATTTGACGGTTTAAAGCAGTTTCGTTGACAAAGAGGTTTTTCTTTCATCATAATCATGAATAGATTAAAACCGTCAAAAATAACCGAACTTATAATAGGTGTCTGTTTTTTTTTAAAATTGCCTGTTTAATAAACAGTTTTTTCACACTGCTGGCAGTTTTTTGCCATAAATTTAACAGAATTTTTTACAGTGTAGTTAATAGACTTTTCTACAATAACAGACATACTTGTCTTTTAATCATTTAAAACAAAATCTTTTTATAATTATCAAAAAATACAAAAATAATGACAAATGCTTCCCATGATTCTTCAAAAAGCGATCAAAATAATAGAAAAAATTCGTTAATATGTCTAATTTACTCTGAAAAAGATGCAAGTGGAGATGAAAAAATGTATAAATGAAGAAAAAATATTATGAAATATGTATTTTTTCATCTCCTTTCAGGAGGAGATTAAAAAACTAACTTTTTCATCGATTAAAATGTAAATGAATTTATTTACTTTCATTTGGGTTTTTTTGCCCATTTCTGATCCAGCTTGGAGATCTGAGAAGCATGGCGGCCGGTATGACGTGCAAGATGACCCCAGATAGAATAAGGAATGTTCCCTGCAATCCATATTGTTCAGTCAGGTATTCTATGAGGAAGGAGAAAAATACAGATCCAACACAAGCTCCTGACAAAGCAATGCCAGATGCAGTTGATCGATATTTTTCAAAATATTGGTTAACAACAACTTGAAACAACGTGTTGGCAAAAGCTTCGCCAGTACCTATTGAGAATAATTATTATTTTGATTAGTTAATTTGTAGACTTTATACGTTTAATATAATAATATTAAATACGAATGCAAAACTACACAAGCGGAGTAGGTTCATCAAATGGTTCCCATTACCTTTATGTAACCTGAGTTTATTTGTAATTTCTGATTAGCGCTAAAAGAAAACACAAATATTTTTAATTCTAAGTAGAAAAAACTTCTTTGAAAAAACGCGCTAAAAAGCAGCAGAAATTTCAGAAAAAAGTAGCAATAAGGAAAACGAAGGAAATAAAAATAGAAATATGACCACCGAAGCCGACGTCTTCAGGGGGTACCGGCCTCGGTAGCCATAAAAACAAAACCATTTCTATTAGAAATGGTTCAATTAGAAATGGTTTTGTTTTTATGGCTACCGAGGGCCGGTACCCCCTGAAGACGTCGGCTTCGGTGGTTATATTTTTATTTTTATTTCCTTCGTTTTCTTTATTTCTGATTACTGCCTGATCCTGAAATATAAACATATAATTTGCCCAAACCGAGGTAGCTTATCAAAGAGTTCTTATACCTGTTTCTGCAGTCTTTACGCCTGAGTTTATAATTCCCTTTAAATTTCAAACTGATGTATATTGTACAATAATTTGGGAGGATGTAGCGAGCATGAATCAACATATTAACAAACTAACCAATCTTCAGGAAAACTTCAACATAAAATTCATATGACTTTTTAGAAAGAAGAAAAAAGATAGAAACGATAGAGAATAAAAAAAGGACAGTTATACAATTATTCAATCTCCCCCTAAAATTTTTTAACTCCAACTAATTTCCTCCTTTTTATTTGTATTATTACTTATCAACATCAAACTGATAAATATAAACAAAAGCATCGTTTGTCTTACCATGAATTCCACCCCAGCAAACGGCAAGCCACCCGACTGTTGGTGCAAAGAAACTGAGACCAGCTCCTGTTGCGGCAACAACTGCCCCTACAAGAGTGACGGTTCGAATACCGAACCTTTGACCCATAATACCGACAATAGGACCTGAAATGAATCATCAAAATAAATAAATTGATACTATAATCGTTTACTGAAACTGTAGCTATTATTAATAAAGATTCTCCATTAGAAATCGGTAATGATAACTTTATGATAACTATCAATTAATTATAATTTTTGGCCATCGTTAATAAATGCGCATTTTTTTACTATTTCCGATTGCAAACTATTATAAAATTACTAATAGTCAACTATTATTAAACAATTTTAGGCAATTTTTTATTTTTATATCATTTACAATAATTGCCATCATTTGTGTAATACTACAAAAAATCCATAACGTCATACCATTATTAATAATGATTAATTATCAGACCATTACCCCTAATTAATATTTATTAGTTTATTACCAAATTTCATAGGATAAGAAAAGTTAACAATGAATGTTATTATGTTAGCAATGATTTTAAATGATTATTCCTCACTACTTCAGCTATTGCCTTGAATTTATTACTAATGTTATTCTTTATTAACTTTAATGCTTACATGAAATAAAATTATCCTTTATTATTTCTGCAGCAAAAATAATTGAGTATTACACCTTTTAATTAATTAATTGTTTTTTTATTTAATTAATTATTTTTTAAATTAATTAATAATGAAATAATTTTAAGTCATTTTAATTAATTAAATTTAATTCCTTCTAAATTAATTATTAATTGATTATTTTTAAATAATTATTAATTAACTATTTTTATTTAAATATTAATTAATTCCATTCTTAATTGTCTTAATTCTTCTTAATGCTTACAAGAAATAAAATTATCCGTTATTACTTCTGAAGCCAAAATAATTGAGTATTACACCTTTTAATTAATTCATTATTATTTATTTAATTAATTACTTTTTATTAATTAATAATGAAATAATTTTAAGTCATTTTAATTAATTAATTTTAATTCATTATAAATTAATTATTAATTGATTATTTTTAAATAATTATTAATTAATTATTTTTATTTAAATATTAATTAATTCCATTCTTAATGTAGCTAAAACAAACCTGATAGGCATCTCAGAGATTTCCTAAATGTAAATGGAATTGTTGCTTCTTCTCTGCTAACATCGTATGTATCGATAACAGCAACGTACAATATTCCGACCATCTTTGATATACCTGATAGTATCAAAGTGATAATACTTGCCGTGAAGGCAATGACCCATGCATGACCTTGATCTGGACCTTCACTGATGGTCATGGTTTCAGCTGGTGGTTTAATTTCCTTCTTCAATTGAAGATAGGGGATTGATGGTCTCTTCTTAGCTGGAAGCAGCGACCTTTTAAAAGAAAATCATATTTTAAAGAAATTGAATATTGCCAAGAGACAATTATCAAGATGATACTGTGAATTACATAAAAATAAGGTACGTATAGTTGAACACCAAGTGGTGGAACATGATCAAAGTACCATTGGATTTTACTTTTAGAAACATTAATAAAATGTTTAGAAAACATATTTTTTCAACGAAACCATTTTATTTAGAAATCTTTCAGAATAATATAATCTTCTATTACCGTAATCAATTGTAAAATATTGTACATGGAAAACTGTGTGCTTTTAAAAAGTAACATAACACAATCTTCTATTAAAAGTTTAAACATTAAATAATTTTAATAATACGTCATTGATGCATCATATTTGAACCTTTAGGAATTTGTAAATGAAATAACAAAGTTTCTCAATCTATTATGAAAGAATTAATCATAGGTTTAGTTTAATTAAAAAGAATTTTTAGATGAATGAGAAATGATTAAGGAAGAAAATCTCTATTTTTATTTTTTAGAGAAGAATACTCATGTTGAAAGTGCTGTCATATGAGTGTAAATATTGTCTCCAGTTCTTAGCTTAGTGACATAAAAGTACAAGTATCGTGCTTTTAAAACTTTGATATGTTCACGGAAATAAAAATAAATTTTTTAAGATCGTTGCCGCCTTTTAAGTACCCTCTGTTGTTTTTTAGCGTATTTTTCTTTTCTATGTTTTTAAAGCATTAATGTATGTTCATGTGAGTTTTTTTCTTCAGAATTTGAAAACATTCCACAACATCTATTCAATTAATGCTATTCAAAATTCGTAGCACTTTTATTGCTTTAAATGCATGTTAAATAGCACATTTATACCATCATTGCTATTCAAACTTCGCTTCTGTTTGATAAGTTCGTAATGAATTGCACGTTTCAAATAATCTAATTATATACTTGTATATTTTTAGACTTTCCACGAATTTGCGCGCGAGACAGGCCTTTCATTAAGGGTTAACCGTAGTGTTACTTTATTTCGTAAATTTAATGTGCTTTTTGAAAAAAATATTAAGATCACAGATGTTCCTATTCAAATTAAAACGAAATCAAAACTATGGATGGTATTTTCTATATAAGGGAGTGCTACAGGATCTTTATCTACCATATTTCCAGGTTACTGTGTCCGGTGTATTTTGAGGTGATTTGGTTCAAAAAGTTCACTGTGTTAAGAGTGAACACAGTAAATAGTGAAGGCAATAAATGTGGTTATATAATAGTAAGAGCCGGGATGGCTCAGGGGATAGGGCGTTCGTCTTCTAATGAGGTTTACCGGATTCGAATCCCAGCGATGGCTGGTCGATACGAATTTTCCCGACCGCAGTGCTGACATAAAATGTCCTCAGTCGGATCACGGGTTAGAGTCCTCTTGTTGTCAAGTTAACAGTGGGAGGTTTTCGTGTTTTTCCTCTCCATGTAACGTAAATGCTGGTTAGTTGCACCAAAAAGTCCTCGACGAAAGTAAGTTTCTTCCAATATTTAATTTAGAAAATCCCTTGTCTTCTGAATGAGGTTTGAAATCATAAGGTTACGGAGTTGAACATTAGTAGTCGTAAACCCAAAAAATTGGGTCGGCTACTCAACGATGGTTATAAAATAAAAAATATATATAATAGTAAACATGTGGTTTGAGAGGTAATAAACACTTAAAACTGATATTAGAATAAAAACTATTATTAAAACATTTATTACCTAGTAAACAATATAATTACTTTGAAACTTAAATCCAAATGATAATTTGTAAAACTAACTTTGTCTCGCTACTTTAAATACTAAACTAGCTTGTACATGGGGCACTGCTTGCAGCAAAAACAAATAGTATTAAAGAAATCAAAAGAAATCAAATCAGGAATGCCAAAAAAAGCTAATTTTTTCTAAATATGACAACCATATAGCCTTTTTTTTTAAACAATATATGTATCTATATACAATTAAAAGAAATTTTCACTTCAAAATTACCAGAAACTAAATCAGGAACGCAAAAAAACTGAGTTCTTTCTAAATATAGCAAACATGTCGCCTCTTTTTTACAATGTATCTTTAAGGTATCCGACTACCTTCGGGACAAAATTTTTAAAAAATAAATATTTTCCACAACATTATTGCAATTTATATTGCATATTAATTTAAATAAACATATTTAATTGAGAAAATTTAAATATACAGGAAATTTTTTGCTTAAAGAGTATTTTTTAGATAATTTTAATGAAAATATCTCATTAACGGAAAACACTCTATACAAAAAACTATTGTACATACAGCTATCAAACTTTTTGAGCCGTTTTGTATAACCCTCTGAAGTGTTATGAACCTCAACTTAAATGATATCATGAAATTAAAAAAATTTATGGAGTGTTAAGCATATTTTTCCATTTTTTTCAACATTTNCTTTAGTTATTTGATCTGAAAGAAATCTGAATATTTACCTCATTTTCTTAGGAAAAACATGCCTCCTATAATTTTCCCACCAACACCTCATTTTTATCAATTAGTAATTTGATCCGAAAGAAATCTGAATATTTACCTCATTTTCTTAGGAAAAACATGCCTCCTATAATTTTCCCACCAACACCTCATTTTTATCAATTAGTTATTTGATCTGAAAGAAATCTGAATATTTACCTCATTTTCTTAGGAAAAACATGCCTCCTATAATTTTCCCACCAACACCTCATTTTTATCAATTAGTAATTTGATCCGAAAGAAATCTGAATATTTACCTCATTTTCTTAGGAAAAACATGCCTCCTATAATTTTCCCACCAACACCTCATTTTTATCAATTGCACAGTTAAGAAAAAAACTATTTAAAAATTAAAGAATTTGATCGCGAAATTTATAGGCTGTACATTGGGATTTTAGAAAATGGTTTAACCATGAAATTTAGCTATTGGGTGAAAAATTCTGAAAAAAAAGAGTTTTATGCGTAACACTACTTGTATTTATACGGAACTCGCTCTTGGTAATAAAAGTAATGTATTTGTTTTATCTAATGGAATTTTACTCAACTGGGCAGGTGTTATCTAAAAAACATTTGTTTAGAAGTTAGTAGCAAAGTGTTTAATAGTTCGTTTCTCTTAAACGTTTTATTAGTAAAAATTTTTTGAAGCCTTGAAAGTTTCTACGAAAAAACTATACTTGAAAACAGTTTAGCGTATCACAACACCAAAAATGGTGGCAACTACTCTGCACCAAATTGGTGCAGTGTAACGTCATACATAACTCTTATGAATCTATGTGTTTTATTACACCAAGAATGTGCTTTTACACTACTTTTATTGTTTTTTTATTTTATGAACGTCGTTGAACAGTCGAACCAATTTTGAGTTTACGACTACTGATGTTCAACTCCGTAGTCTTGTAATTTTGAACCCAATCCGGAAGACAAGGAATCTTCAGGATCAAGTATTGGAAGAAATTTTGATAGGTGATAAAAGATCTCAAGACAAAGGATAAAATATCCCTTGACTTGAAATCTTGGATCAAGTATTTTGAAAAATTTGCTTCCGTGGAGGACTTTTTTTTTTTAATCCCGCATTTGCGTTACACGTAGAGGAAAGCCGCGAAAACTTTCCACTATTAGCCTGACGGCATGGGGACTCTAATCTAGGATCCGTCTACTACTGTGGATATTTTACGTCAGCACCGTGGTCGGTGTGATCCGGGTGACGAATCATATCCACTAGTCATTGCTGGGATTGGAACCTAAATCACCTAGTCGACCCAATTTCGTATGAATCAATCAGTTGTCCCTAGGATTCAAATCTGGGTAAATGAAAGTTGGATTAATTTCTTACTGAAGTTTGATTTTATGTTTGAGGTACTCTGAGCTTTAGGAGATCAATTCAGTCATCATTTAAAGGGAAATTTCAATGATAAAGATGTATGCAAACGGTTCACATTATTATTCGACACATTATTACAAACACATTATTACGGTTTACATTATTACAAACACATTATTACTTGATTTTATACGGTTTTATAACTTGGTCATAAATGACATAAAAGAATTGACAAAAAAGAAAAGAAAAAGAAGCAACGGTAGCAGGGAAAAATTTAAAATTTTTGAAAAAAATTAATTATATTAAAATACACAAAAAATTAAAAAATTGTGAAACAATCAAATATTGCATATCGCTATTAACCGACACTTAAAGTTTTCATCCCTATGTCTATTTAAACTATTAAAATGTTTTATTAATGTTAGGTAATTAGTTATGAAACATCTTAGTTTTGAAAAAAGACAATATTTTGGTGTTCATATGGGGAAAAAAAAACTTAAGATTAATAATAATAATTCAAAAATAAATTAAAATAGATGCATTTTTTAAAATAGATGCTAGTGAAAGTTTCTACTGTAATTTTAAATATAAGAGAAATAAAAAAGTAAAATAAATAAATAAAATTTTTTAGAAAATATGGATTTTAAATGTAATAAGTTAAAATTTTAAAATGAAAAACTTTAAATAATAACAAATTAAATTTTCCTATAGCTGCTATAAATATATTTTAAGTTGAATATTTTTTATTCAATGGAAAGAAAGATCTGTAGTTCAAACCGAAAGTAAGAATAAAGGGTTTTACAATAAAACTTAAATTCTGAAATACCATTGTAAACTTTAAAAATAATCCCACCAGATTTACTTACAGTACAAATCTTATGTTTCAATACTATTATTTTGGATATTGATAAATACTAGAGTATGATACTATACTTGTCAAAATTGGTATAATAGTTTATGATATACAGGAAGCATTAAATTTAATGCACATTTATTGATAAGTACCAAGAAAATGATATCGCGTAAATGTCAAGCCTAGTTTATTATTTTATTGCAATTTACAAGCATATTTTTTAATAAACGACATAACTTTTACTAAAGTATTCGAACTTGACGTTCGATTCAATGCCAGAGTCAATGCATCTGTCCAATAAGCAATCATTTTGACCGGGAAAAAAAATTTACTCTTATTTGCAATAGACAAGTTATAAATTTGAAGCACCTATAAATTACGACACAGTGCAGATATTCAACATAGTTTGTGGTCTTTATTGCTATCATAAAACAGCATCAATAACTTACGTAGAAATGGTACTAAAACTGTAACACTTGATACAATAAAAATATAATCGTTTTGTCAAAAAATATTGCGAACGCTTTTTTATTAATTCCGTACGGGGAATGCTTTCCGTTGAAAAATTTTACATTATTAGTTGGTACATAGTTTAAAACATATAACCTGAGGTTTTTAAAAATTGTACCATGCAAATATTGTGTTAATTATTATAGGAAAGAGTGTTAAGCGTGGTTACATTTTTAATTAACTGTGGTTTTAAAAGAAACATGCATTTATTTTCTTCGTAAATATTCGCGCTGCAAAAAAATTCCAGATAAAATTAGGGTATAAAGTACCGGTGCTTTGGGTACATTATCCGCAAAATCCATTTTAAGGTACAGTCTATTTTCACCTTCAAATATTAATGCCGTAATTTTTACGGCAATAGTTATTTACATAGAGAATTTCAATGACTTTACGGTAGTTATTTCTGTAAATATTAATGTAAATCTATTTTCTGTATCCTTTTTCCGGTAAACATTTTCTTACGGTTAAGAGTACCAGCACCCTGAGAAGCGGTACTTTTTACCTTAATTTAATCTGGAATTTTTTGCAGTGCAAATATCTACACCGAAGAGCTATTACATTATGACAACCCTGCTAATAGCATGTAGGACCACTTTTAGCCCTCAAAACTGCTAGCACCCGCCGTGGCATTGATTCCACAAGGTGCTGATAGGTAGTCTGAGGTATCTGGTACCAAGCGCTCACCAACTGGTCCTGCAATTCCCTCACATTGCGAGGGGGTAGCGTGGCAGCACGAATTTGGTTTTCCAAGTAGGACCACAAATGCTCTATTGGATTAAGGTCAGGTGAATTTGGGGGCCAAGACATGACTTGAAAGTCACTGGAATGTTCCTCGAACCAATCCATGATGATTCGACCCTTATGACATGGTGCATTATCCTGTTGGTAAACACCATCCCCCGCAGGAAAAACTGTTTCCATGAATGGGTGAACCTGGTCTGCAACTATGTTCAAGTAACTTCCAGACGTCAGGGATTATTCTATGAGGATTATGGGTCCTAATGTGCCCCATGAAAACATTGTTCCTGGGAGAGAAACAATGAAAACCTGGGCGAGCCCAATGTTATAGATGGAGGGTAGTCATAATGTAATGGCTTTTCGGTATATGACAGTGCTTTTAATCTTTTCTAACAGGCGCTCTCTAGTCGTTTTGAGAGGTTGACTCTCCGCCACTTTAAACGTAGCGAAAAAATACCTTGTTTATTAATTATAAATAATAATTTTATTTATATACCCACAAAAACTTTTGTGTACGCTTAGCAAAATAAAACATTACACACCTAATAACTTTAGATTTAATTATCGGATTCTTCACTTACTTAGATACATCTTAAGGTTTAAGGGGTAAGCCTCATGCATGCTCATTAATTAATATCGAAGAATTTTTATGAAATTACATACGATAACGAACTTTTTCAAGTTTAAAGCTTCTTTTTAATATATTTTTGACCCTTAAATACTGAAGATTACCACTTATGAAAAATATGATCCTAATAGTTTAATCAAAGGAGCTTTCGAAAGTTTGAACTATTTAATATTAATTTTATTGCTAATTTATTTCCATCTACAAGCAGAAATACATCTTTGAAAGCAGTTGGGAAGCATTCAAATAAGTTAAAAACTCTTCAATAATTAATAATATTTTTTTTCAATAGTAATCGAAAAACATATATTGTTAGACTCATGAGATAAAAAAGAATAAATTTGCAGATTAAATTAGTATTAAGTTAGCAACCCAATTTATTAAAGAAAAAATTAGATTGCAAATGCATTTTTATTAAAAAAAAAACTGTAGTTTTTCTTTTTGATAAAAGTCAGCACCATTTTCAATATCAGCATAACTGAGTACAGGTGGACGAAATATTACCTAATAGTCATGAATAACTGTTACGAACTCATAAAAAAGAAATATTTGATTCATAAAGTGTTTCATTCTAACGAAACAGTCTGTCAAATGGTCTTAAATAAGAAAAAAGTGGATTAAATAATCACGATTTAAGCTTGTTTATTACATCGCATGCATCAGAGGAGAATTAGTTATAAAGTATATTTACCTAAACCGAATGAATAATAGGCAGGTAAGTCATTGAAAAGGAAACTCTAAAAAGTCTTTGTGACTTTCTGTATAGTAAATAAATGAATTACTCTTAAATCTTCATTTTTATTCGTTTTTCCTACACCAGTCCTCTATTGTTCTAAAGAAGCTAAGCAAGTATTTTTCAAATGAGAAAAAAAATTATGTTATTTTCAACCATTTCTCTTCAAATTTTGTGGAATAAGAACAAAAGAATAGATATTTTAGAGAAGAAAAATGTCATTGAGTTCATTGAATTTTTTTAAAAATCAATATGAAATTCAACATAAATCAATAAATTGAGGAATTAAAAAAAAGTGCTATAAAGAAATTTCTAATAGAGGGATTTAATGGAAGTAAGTAAGTGAATATTTTCTTGAAAACCTAACTTAATTTATGGACTTAAAATTTAATATTTAATTAGATTGTTTACTTTGACAATGTTAAAAATGATCACTGAGAAGAAAAAAAAAGTATGATCAAAACTACGTTGTTTCTGGCTCTATGAGAGCACCAAAAAGCTCGGTAATTTTTATTGAAGTGTTTTTGGTTATGGCTTTCGTAAAATTAACAATTAAATATAGTTGTATAATATGTGATAAATTTGATAACTGTAATAAAATTTGGTAATTTCATCATGATACCTTAAATCATGGTACGAAAACGATTTATTCGGTAAAATTTGCTT